GAGAGAGAGAGAGAGAGAGAGAGAGAGAGAGAGAGAGAGAGAGAGAGACTCAGAGGAGTTCCTTAAAAATAGGACGTGGAATAAAATATGAATATTCTTGATCGGGACAACGAACAGAGTCGCCTGTCCAGCTGAACCCACAACTAGAGAACCTTGAAAATGAGAATAAAACTGACTTAATATATCTATGCATATATGTAACTTTAAGCCAGCTACAACTAGCCAGCCCCTTGCAGTAAGAAATACCTAAAAATAGAGCGAAATAATCTTGAACTAATGCTTTCAATTAGACAATTGCACAAGTGTTCGCAATGGCCTCCATAAATAGTTGTCATTAGGTTTTATGCACACCAAATGGTGTTTATTTATTGAAATTGAAATTGTAATTGAAATTGTTGCAGCGATGATGCCGAGGAAACCTCCAAGTGGAACAACTTTGTGGAATCGATTAAGTCCAAGCTGACCGTGAAACAGGTCGTGGATGGCGTGCGAGCTGGCGGCTCCCTCTCCTTTGACTACTTGCTGCTAATTGTAACCGCCGAGTGAGTACAGAGCCGAGATGTGAGATGCATGGCAAAGCTAATGTGTGTCTGTGTGTGTGTGTGCTGCCTCTCTCTCTCTCTCTCTCTCTCTCTGTGTGTGTGTGGTTGCATCTTGCAGCTCCTTGGCCGCCCTGGGTCTGGTCGAGAATAATTCACCGAATATTGTTGCGGCCATGTTGGTATCCCCGCTTATGGGTCCCGTTATGTCAATTACATTTGGCGCAATTATCTCGGACAGAGAGCTAATGGTAAGTGGAACAGCAGCAGCAGCAGCAGCAGCAGCTGTTGCTATAGCAGATATTTGCTGCGGTTGGCCAAAGCCATTTCGATTCGCTTTTGTGTTCCGTTCACATTTCTGTCTGTCTCTGGCAGTCAGCACATTCTGAGCGGCCTGGGCAAAGCCTCAAACAAAAAAATCAAATAAAATATAACAGAAACAAAAATAACAAATAGAGATCGAGTCAAAAATTGAATGCAGTTTGGTCGAGGCCCATGCAATCAATTCGCCGCACACTTTGGAGCTTTGTGGACTGATTTATGTATGGAAAAGTGACAGATGAAAATAATAAAAGCCAAGCGATGAAAATTGTTATGCCAACTCGTTGGCAGCTCGTTTGGCCGCCTACCCCCCTCCCCGCCCCCTTGCCAGTTGTAAATGGAAATGAAAGGCTAGACTTCCCAATGGATGGCTCGCAGTTCTCACGTCCTGCCTCCCGCCTCCCGCCTCCTGCCGCCCATCGGGCATGAGTACGACAATATTTTCGACGAATTTGTTACAAATTTTCAACACTTTTGTGGTAACAGTCGTCGCGAGTTTTGAGTTCTTTATTGACAGCTCTCTGATGGCTGTACAAATGGGTTTCGCACAGCTCCCGCTCTCTCTCTCTCTCTCTCTCTCTCACGCTCTCTCTGTAAAGAAGTTGCTCTCCACACTGAGCAACTAATTGCACGCATAGCTTTACATGACTGAATGAATGAATAGAATCGGGGGGCCAATTCAATATTCAATTTCTTTTCACTCAAGTCAGTTGGGAGCTGTGCGCGACAGGCTTTGGCTAGTATTACAATAAATTATATAAGCCTAAGAAGTCCAATTTAAAAACTCAACTTTGATCGAACTATTTATGTTTTACATGTTATTAAATCTTTGGCAAATTGTTAAAAAACTAAATAGTAAAACAACATTATTACTTACTTTTTTTGCTGTTGTGAAAATCTATAATTTAAGTGCTTAAATCATTTATATCTCTAATTATCGCTTGGGTTTTCTATGCATTTTACTAAATTTAAATCAGCCCCTTTAAGACACTTTATACATCCTTCTAATTAATACATTCCGACTAAAATTATCGTTCTCCTCTTAAGCATTTCTCATATGCAATCATTGTCAATTAGCTGTCATTTTCTTTGAATTTATGGAGAATAACCTTTGTTATCAGGAAATTTGATATGTTCAATAGCTTCACGTGTTAAACTGACGCCCAAACCGACTTTTGAGATTACAAATAATGCTTTACATACACACATACATACATATATGTGTACCTACATCACATACAGAAATGGATTGAGCAGCCCGAGGTAATAGCTTTTAATGAGTAATTACCGTGCTTTCATAACCTGCCAAATATTTATACATAAGTTGACTTTAATAGCTCGTTTAGCAATCTCAAAATAATTA